GACTTACTACGCAACAATAAACCCTACAAGTTTGTTCGTTCACAATGATGGTTTTTCCCTGTGTAGGAAATTGTACCATCAAATCTCACAAGTCTTGTAAATAATTTAACAATTTAAACTAGCATTGAAAAGATACTTAATTACACACTCCTTTTACTCTGTCGATGAATTTCTAATGTTTACAAGTAAGTCTTAATTTATCTATTGTATATAATAGGTGGATTTATTTGTAACTTATCTCTACTTTACGTGAACCTTTTGTCTGTATTTTGTGACATTTATATAATAGTATGACTTGTATTTGTATAACATATATTGTATTATTATGACTTATTCTACATCCTATTGTCATCTGACTAACTTATGGATCCATGGAATGTAATAAAGATGTATGTATGTAAATTATGATTTTAAAGCAGTCCCCAGCGGCATAACGTCTGGACTATTAAATCATTTAGATGTTTTGAAGGACGATTTGAAATAAGTATAAAGAAAAAATCACGAGAATAATTCCATTTTCCGGTCGGAATTTGAATTCACAAACATAGCAGACGGTATTTAGCATAATATAAGAGGATTTATATATGGTGAAATCATATGGACTATGAAGGTATTCATCGTGGCCTATTTCAAGAAATTTTCCACCGTTTTCCTGGACGGGCAGACGAAATCTAAATACTAGGAAGTGTATGCATGACGTAACAATTCTGAAGCTTTCGCTGTGTTATTTCCTCTAGATTTTTAGTTCACAAATTCTTGCTTTTGATTTTTTCTTTCAGCCTCGTAAAACAGGCCGTGCGGACGAGAAGGGTTTCGAGCACACAATTTGATTAAAATCAGCCCAACAGTTCAAGTTATCAAATAACATGCGATAAAATTTCCATTTCTTACAATTGTTTCTAAATATGTGAGGCATGCGGAAAAATACGTTGGGCCTAAAACGTGTTTCGTTTCTCTCTGCGGCTTCTGTTAGAAATATTTTTCGCTCCCACAAATATTTATCGAGTTGCATTCGAGGCTTCCCAGATGTGTGCAGAAACGCGTGTATGTTTTCTTATACTGTCGAGTTTGAATGAAAATTAGGATATGTCGATAAATTTTAGTAAAATTCCCCATTATTAATTTTCATGAAAATCCATTCAGCAGTTCTCGGGCTTCTACATGCGGATACATTGACAGACAGATATGGCGCTTTCTGCATCATCTAGTTGTAAACGCGCTGACTTAAAAATAGCTGCGAAATATAACATCACAGGAATCTGGTGACGTTTAGAACATCTGTTACAGGAGCAGTGCATGTCTAAATTATTATTGCTGGTTGGGTTTAAGCTTATGAGACCGTATGAAATGATAAAAACACCTTTCTTGTGCCGTACAGCTAACTTTCGCACATGCTGCTTTCTGTTCCAGTAAAATGGCAGCATCATGTCAACTTAAAATCATATCTTCCAGTTTTACGCCCAGCTGTCATTTTCAGATATCTGTCTATAAAACGCGTTATTGTAATATTCTCATTTCAACAGCTGTAATTATATGCATGACGATGTAATGTACTAAACGAAGGCGGTACATATAGTTACCACTGGAATTAAAAGGTTCAGAAATATACGTACAGTTTGCCTAAAATAAAGTTCCAATTTTTATTTTCCTGGCGTCATAATAAAAGATTTTCAAACAGGGTAACTGCCATGTGGATCTACTGATAATATGAATAAATATTAATTTGTTATTTTACAGGGACACAGTTATTAGCCTGGATAAGGTACTATTTGATTTTGATTGAATATTTAGTTCTGAAATAATGGAGGGTTTTATTTACCAGCCGATGTGGCCAGTCCCTCCTACATGTTCGTAGCCGCTAACACCGGTTTTTGCACTTTAACGTTTACCAACTACGACAAGTTTTCGTGTGAGCATGGCAGCTTCCAAGCAATTAGTTTACTTTACTTCGTTTTTATAAATTGTGCACGTAAAGAAACAGAAAAAATCGTCTGAAAACGGAGGCCATATTTCCCTGCTCTTTTATATTATTTTGAGTGCATATAAAAACTAAAAATATGATGTAAGACTTGAGGTTCTCACAGCGGTGAGTATAAAGATTTCCGTCTTCTGGGTTGTTGCGCTGTGTAGTCTGGTCGATGTTAACCAACGTTTCAGAGGTCATACTGCCTCCGTCATCAGGGTGATGAATATAACAATAGGGTGTGAGGTGCTAGGTTTATAGGCCGGAAAGTGAAAGGTGTAGCCTTTCACTTTCCAGAAGACGGAAATCTTACAAATATGATGTCCGGACTGATTCTGTTTCTCCTTCTTTTCTTCTGCCTTTCATTTCTTGTACAACAAACGTCATTGAGAATGAAATAAAACAAACGAAATACTTTGCTGTCTCAGATGAACAATAATCACAGAAGCGGACTTTTATATTAAACACAACTCTGAGTGGGATTACGGGGTAATGCTGCATAATAACGAGACGCGTGCTCTGATGTATTTCTTACGTTGGTTTTGATTTAATGCTCTTCACTTGCTACTGACTGTAACTTACCAATATTTTGGAAGCATGCAGGTTCCAGATCTGAGGCTAGCTCATCCGAAGAGCCCAACAGATAGGATTCTATCCTCTTCTCTTTAAGTGAATACGAAGCAGAATCCAACTTCCGAATCGTTGTGATGCTATTAAAAATTTAGACGAAAGGCAAACTCAAAGAAAGAAATTTTATAAATAATAACGCATTGTCGTCATAAACCTTCAGACTTCAACCAATCGTTAAATACTTTGAATAATTGGTATGCGAAAATTTTGCTTTCATCGGTGTGCAGCTGCGCTGGTACGAAAGAATAAACTTGTGCTTCTCAGTTTCTCATCGTGAACGAGCCCGCAATATAAACTTTATACGCCTAGTCTCGAAACTTAATTAGATTACGTTCCTTTCCTTGAATTCCTCAGAACTTCTGAAAATAATTTTGTAACATTTTCGAACTAATGTAGCAAGTGTAAAGTCATTTCCGAAGTCAACCGATTTTCTGTAAAGTGCTCAAGTTCTTTACAACTAGAAGTTGTAAAATGAAAATTGCGAATTTAGAGGAACTGTTCATTTTAAACAGGTGTGAGACGGGAATTTAGTTGTGTACATGCAGGTCTCAATAAATCGGTTCTCGTCTGCTCGTCCGTGACGAATGAAAAATCAGACCGGCCAGTGAAGAAATCCCTGCTCTCCTTTTTTTGGCCAAAGATGTACAATAAATTTGTAACTGACGTGGGTATGAGGGCCTTTGTTTAACTCAACATTAACGAGTCTGAATGCCGGGATGTAGGAAAGCGATTACAGCGAAATACAATTCGCAGGTTGCTTTTATTTATGACGATGTGAATAATTCGTCCCTTTGTTCCGTTTCCAGTCATGTAAGGTACCAAGAGCAGCGGACAATACAACAAGAGTGACTTAGCTCTCCACTGTACAGTTCAGTTATAATCAGTTGTTTGCGACACCAATTAATTGTGGATATCGTCTTTTGTGACTTGAATATTATGTCATTGTTTTCCAGGCTCTTTTAGTCTTAGGCTCCCTCGGTGGGAACTGTGCCCCCCCCAAAAAACTTATAAATAGTTCAGCAATTAACAATATTACTATTAAACATGAATTATAACAATGAAGTAAATTTCTATTAAATTTTATATTTTTAATTTAATGTTGCATTTTCATAGCAACTGATCTGTACTGTAATTAGACTATTAGACCCACAAAAGGGCTTCACGAACCCCTTGGGTGCCCAGGTTGCCGCTTTTGTGTTATGTGATGGTGAGAAGACTAGAGCATGTTGAGAAGGATACGTCTGGCGAGAACAATTTTTGTCTGATTTTAAACTGAGTCAACATGCTGACCCCTGTGTGTATAATGGAGCATGGACCCTTTTGAGAAGCTGATAGCAGCTCAACCGGTCAATAACCAGGAACTTCATCACCACTTTCATAATCTCCCGCCACTGGACCTTAAGTTAAACTGGTTTAGCCAAACAAGTCTCCTTCACATCCAATTTCCTTGTGTACAGATTAATATCTTTCCCACCTAAGCCTGTCTCTACCAAGTAATCTCTCCCATTTTAATTTTTCTACGAAATTGTTTACTGACTTCTCCACCATTTCCTACCTACCTCGTTCTCTTTGATTTGTTAACCAAGGAAAACTTATCTAACCGCTAAGCCGTTTCGGAGACAAAATATTTAGAGGCGATAACAAATTACGTGTCACTTCCGAGCGTTGTGTGTTTTGCAGCGGAAACAAACGTAATAATTTAATTATGAAATATGAAGCAGTCTTGCACAAATTGCGTATTAGAAAATAATGTAATTGTAAATAGTAAAGTAAAGTAAAAAGCACTCATTACTAACCTCGGCTCTAGTTAGGAGTGAGTGGTTAGCGTCACGCCCCGGCCGCGCTTTGCCCCCGGGAAAGGACCTCATTGTACAGGAAGTTGGGTAGACACCAGAGCCGGTATGGACGCAGAGGCTAGAGGGAAAATCCTCTGCCCCCGTTGGGGATCGAACCGTCGTCCATTTCGTAGTCAGCCACTATAATGACTGAACTATGCAGCTTAATTGTAAATAATACAAGATTAATTAATTCTGTTAGAGGTCACATATAGCATAGTGATACCATATATGTGAATATTTGTTTTCTGCAGGAATTCCGCATTAAAACGTTATAAAATAACCTGAAACACAAGCGGCTTCTGTCAACAAATTGCCAGATTGTTTTAACATTGCACGTTCCACAAAACAAAAATGGTTTTTTATTTTTAAATATCAATGTTGATATGTAAATACGTATTTGAACCAGAGCAAATCATACTGTGCTATAATATATATTTTAATATTATCTCCTATTTACCTTTTTGTCAGGGATTTTTATTCATCAAAATTCTGTGTGTATTTCTTTCTTCCTGGGGTTTCTTAACTCGCCGTTCTGGTTATTCACAAGTGTTTCTCTCGTTCGTCAACAGGCCGTGTCCGACGCCATGCTGGTGGAACTGAAGCAATGTTTCATGGAGGCGTACGACGACAATCAGGACGGAAAGATCGATATCAGAGAGGTAAGTGACAAACTAATTATGATATCTCAGGTAATTACTTGATGATAGGGCAAATTCGGAATCCAGGTAACACGTGCCTGTATCAGCACTGAAGTATCGAGTTGCTGAAGGAAGTCATGGTCACATATTTGAATACCAATTCACTTTGATAATTTAATCCTTTAAAGCCTAATGGTAACATAATGTCCCAACTGTTTAACTCTTCATTTTGTATTTATGTGTTTTGTATGATTGTCAATGTAAATAGGGATTATTTCGAAGATTTCTGTCTTCTGGGTCGTTGCGCCGTGTAGTCTGGTCGATGTTTACCAACGCTTCAGAGGTCATACTGCCTCCGTCATCAGGGCGATGAGTAGGAAGATTTCTGTCTTCTGGGTCGTTGCGCCGTGTAGTCTGGTCGATGTTTACCAACGCTTCAGAGGTCATACTGCCTCCGTCATCAGGGCGATGAGTAGGAAGATTTCTGTCTTCTGGGTCGTTGCGCCGTGTAGTCTGGTCGATGTTTACCAACGCTTCAGAGGTCATACTGCCTCCGTCATCAGGGCGATGAGTAGGAAGATTTCTGTCTTCTGGGTCGTTGCGCCGTGTAGTCTGGTCGATGTTTACCAACGCTTCAGAGGTCATACTGCCTCCGTCATCAGGGCGATTCACCGCTGTGAAAACCTCAAATCTTACAAGCGTTTCTTATCTTCTTTCAGTTGGCACAACTTTTACCCATGGAAGAAAATTTTCTGCTCTTATTCCGGTTTGACAATCCTTTGGAATCGAGTGTTGAGTTTATGAAGGTAAGTTTATGTTAACTGAGTTATATTCCACGAAGACTAGTGTTTGTTATGTACTTAATAATGATCGTGGGAAGTCCACTGTTTGGATCGTAATTTCGGCGTCAGGCGCCATCTAATCGTGTCGTATGTCACTTTCAGATCTGGCGGGAGTATGACATTGACGGCAGCGGCTACATTGAGGCGGACGAGCTGAAAGTGAGTTAACAGCAAGAGTGCCTCTTTAATTATTGCTGATGTCTAAATATGAAGATGTGTGACAATGGCGTGTTGTTACAATAACAAATTTGTTGGACATTATACATCGACCTGATTTTCATAACAACGTTTACGACCTAGCTAAGGTCTAACTCGATCGATTGGGCCCATTAAAGTAGATTTTATCTAAGGGCAGAGATAAATTTCAGTCTCCGAAACGTCGTTTTTAAACAAAGTTTAGGACAATGGATAATTTCTAACAAGTTTGTTATCATTAATGATTGTTCAATTTGAAACAGCAGAAAGCGTTTTAAGGACACTCCTCATCGGGAAGAAACATTTTAGGGTTTCGAATGATTTTACTTAGCAGCGTATTACAGTCTCCTTTACTGTCTAGTCGACAGACTCTTGATTCGAATCTTTCAAATGCTACTTTCGTGAATTAATGTTGCCAGACTTTCCCTATTACTTATACGATTAATTTCCAATAATAAGTCATGTAGACCGTCATCTTAATTAAATAATTTCACAACATAATGTTTATTGCGTTTCTATGGTTGAACCCAACTTCAATGAAACATTTAGCTGATTTCCCTAAATTTCAGAGCACAGTACATAAATGTTCTCATACAGCAGTGATCAAAATATCTGTTATTAATTAAGTCACTAATTACACACACTGATCACAATGGAAGGTGAACTACTGTGCATTCTTAGTGACGAGCAAAGCGAATTTTATATATCCAATTTCGTATGTGTGTGTGTGTGTGTATAAATAGGCTTATACATTTAATTAAATTTTTTTGGGATTCACTTCTACCAGGAGACATTACATGTACTGTAACGAGTCAGTTTACAAATTTCATGTGTAATGTTACAGTACTTCCGCAGTTATCATCGCCCATTCAATCTCTTCAATTTTTTTTAATTTTCGTTTTCATAAACATTTAAAGTTTCATAGATAAATAACTGTTTTAACTGCCCATTCTCGTCATCCTTATTAATTGCAAAGAGATTGTTTTCTGACAATTAGCACTTTACATCCCTAATTTATATTCTACAATTACAATTATTATGAATTTAAAATGAGGATATCACTTTTTGGCAGACACTAACCATGTAATAGTCAATTCGGCTTAAAGGTGAAATATAAAGTGCACTTATCTCATAAGGGAAGATTTTACGACCCAAGGTAAAGTTTTTATTTCTTGTACTCAAACTAATAGAAATGGAAGGCAAAGGAAATGGACGCATTATAAAGGCCTAGTATGACTCGATATGTCGATAAAAACGAAAGAAAGTGATGGCCTTGTCACTGATCAATGAGGTGTGGATCTAAGGGAATAGAGTGTATAATTACGGTTACAGAAATCAGAGAGCTAAACTTTTCGTGCTTGCTGGATGTGCGTACGAGTAAGTTTGGGGTGAATATTTCTCTGTCAAAATAAATAAAATCTGATCTTCTGTGTTGCGTTTGGGCTCGACAACACATTAGCCTACTTTGTTGCTTCTGCTTGCAGGGAGACTGTCAAAATACGTGGGAAGTAAGTAGACATTAAATAATCGATTATAACCATTTCTCAATGCCTACTTACTTCCCACCCACTCTGTAGATTCGATACGCTTTGGTTTTCTCGTAATCAATTGTACACACATCTTAATCATTCGAGTTTCCATTGTATAGTGTGTTATATGTAACTACATTTCAGAAATTTATTTCACTTAATAGTAATAGAGTCACCAATTCAGTGCTCCCAATTACGTGTTTATTAGGTTTCTTCAATGCGCATGTTTAATAATTTAATGAACGATATGAGATTTGGGGTTTTCACGAATGTGAATATGTCTTTATTGTTGTTTTGGGTTATAGAGACGTGTGGACTTGTAAGTAGATACCAACGTTTCGGAGGAATATAATTCCTCCATTTTCAGGATTGAAGATGGATACAGTATATTCCTCTGATAGGTTGCAACGCTGAAAGTCGTGTTATACATTAAACGGTACGTGATTACCAAACGATGCAACAGTAATAAACGAAATTCGTTTACCTACTTTCTGTACCTTGTATGATCTCCTGGCGATGGAAGGACGAAATTTGGGTATACCGAATAAATTTATTTTACAGAATGAATTACAAGTTTTGCATTTATTTTACCTGTATCATTCAAACGGCTGCACTTATTAAATATATATCATAAAAGCTTTATCACAATATAAAATATTGAGTTGTTACCAAAAATAAAATTAGTAAAATTAGACTGCTTTCCAAGCATATTGATTGTGATTAGCTTGTGTTTTAGTTTACCATGAAAGTTGTGTGAAACTCTTATTTTATTATGACAACCGACCGCAGATCGCCAATTTGTTCTACGCCTTCAGGGCACACTTCCGAAACTTGCTTCATCTTAATTTCATTCCGCTCTCCACGTCAGCCCTATCACAGGCCTCTCGCAATAGTACATTAGAGGGTTCAGTTGCCTTCTTGATACTGAGTTCGCATAATCCTTATGAACACAGCGGAACTAATGAAGTTGCTGTTGTTTGCCGCATAATTCAGTTACGGTATATCTTCCATGTTTGTGTTGTGGCTTGTGCTTCAAACATGGTTATTAACCCTTTAAATCCCAATGGTAACTTCATCTACAATCAGCAAGACTACATTTTGTATTTATGAGTTTTATATGATTCTCAATAGAAAATATTATATCCTTAAACAGCATTAACCATTTGATCTCTGTAATGGAGAAGGGTTGTTCTTCCTTTGAGGTTAACGGTCCACGCTTCTACTGTCTGACTAGGATGAAGACACGTTCCACTTTGGGTGGGTTTTACATTTTGCCTCCCTTCACTGGATAATGAATCTAATGATGGCTGACATCCTAAGCCCTATACATGTATTAATTATTTCTAGACTGATGAATTTTTCAGGGAAAATGCATCACCAATGTATAATCTATATTTCACCCTTACCTTATGGACTCTTTTACATTGTTAGGAGGATAAATGAATAACTTTAACCGAACAAGTTAAATCAAGCTATAAATGTATCGACTCCGCATTTAAGTTCTGCCCGGATTGAATCCAAGTCGGTACACAGGCTGGACTGATGGGTATTTTTCTTAGTTTTTCCTCAGTCTATTTACTCAAATGCATTGTCTGAAGTACGTTTAAATTGGCACCGACAGCGTCATCTTCCTTTCATTACCAGCCTTTTAATTTAATTCCTAAGTCTGATATGGCGGCGTTAAATAACATACAAGCCGACCAAAAACTTTGCCAAAGTTTAAGTTTTCATGGCGGCGAGTATGAAGATGGTTGTCTCCTGGGTTGTTGGGTCATGTAATCTGGTAGACGTTTAATCGGACTACACGACTACTATGGGCTGGGCACGCGGTTGCATTGAGGAAGGCAATAAACACACGAAGAAATTTGATGGGGAAATATCTTGGAAAACGTTCATTTGGAAGATCGAGATATGAGGAAACATTGTGACAGATGCTAGGGAGATGGATTGAGGATGAGAGGCGGATGATGGAACTCGCTCAGGATCGTGTTGAACGACGGACAATGGTCTTATGGGTGTTGACTGGAGCAGAGCGTGAGGGTGTCGACTGGATTCAGCTGGCTCAGGGTAAGGTCTCTTGTAAAAATTATATGTTGGACTGTTTTCGGTTTCATAAAAGGAATTCGATTAGCTGAAAGACTGTCAGTAAGTTATAATGGTCTCGGGACTGCAGTTGCGTTACTTTAACCTCGGTCTCTGCGACGCATTTCCCATCTTTTCTCTGAAATATTTAATGTGTGTTATACTGCCCATCCTCTAGCGTGTTGTCTGCGTTTCGCTTAACACGCATCCGTCTCTTCTCCCTAGAAACCACATGTCTCATGTCGGAACAAGAGTGGCTCTTCGCCATCACTTGTCTTCCCAGGAGTAAGGAATTGTTCCACCCCGTAAGCACTACGGCATAAATAAATTTTTATACAATGAATGTGGCGTAAACATGCTAAATTGTCGATGGCATTGTTCACTTTGGCCTTGACGCCGCGTAGACTCGTAGGAAGATGCCAACATCTCGGATAAACATAGTCCTTCAACATTGTTCTCTTTAAATTGTAATCCCATATTTACCTATAACTTTATTTAGTTTATGAGCTTATATCGCCACTGCAATGGAGGACGATATTCCCGTTTTAAGTTTCCTGTATCCATAACATTTAAAAAATGCGTATAAACGTTAAGAACATATCAGAGTAAGCTCTGTTTAGTACTCAAAATCAATAAATAATTATTAACAATAAATTAATACATTTGTTGCATTCTTATGTCACTTTTGCTCATAGAAATTGTTTGGCGCAGAGCAGTGCAGCTGAGTTACATCGTTAATTATCCACGTGGCCATTAATGCTGTCCCAGTATTAGCAAGGTTATATAAGAGACGATGGACATGTAACAAGCTATGTGCGCGCTTAATGGAGGGGAAAAAGCGTTCAAATATTGAAATTGTCAAAGCCTATTAATCTTTAATAAAATTAATAATTAGCGAAAGAATAAGGCCCTGGCTTTGTCAATAAGTAACTATATGCTGAAGTGCGCTGTTTTCTGTGAGGAACGAGCTGGTATCTTGAAAGTTATTTGTACGAACTTCGGCTTCGTAGAGTTATATACTTGTTCAAATTTCTGTCAGCAGATCTGAGTAGAACGCTTTGGCTCTGGGGATAGTAGAAGCAGTCGTGCTGATTTGTTTGATGGTAGCTATTAACGTGCCCATATGTTCGTGTGATACAGGAAGATAATTTAGTAGTACTTGGTTTCTCATACGAAACACATGACGTTCAATTTTAGCTAACATTCAAGATATGGTTTGTGCGGCAAAAACGGCTGTATCTGAAAGTGCATATTTCTGGAATGCTATCTCCTTATCTGTGCAGTAAATGTATGAATGCAGTCTGTGCATGCAGATGTGACAGAACAACCCCCTACTTCCTCTGCAACCTTTCTGAAAACAATTCCTTATAAAGTGACTCCATTTATTTGCATTCTCATCTTTTCAGAATTTCCTGAGGGATTTGCTGAAGGAGGCAAAGAAGATAAATGACGTGTCTGAAGACAAACTCATTGAGTACACAGATACTATGGTAAATAGAGTTCATTATGATATTCCTTAGCTCAAAACAGTCCATAAATGGCAGGATTCATCTCTTAAAGCTTCTATCCTCATGTCAACAACCTTATGTGGTTTATTCCACATATATATATAAAATGGGACATTGAAGACAGAGTTATGGTAATATAATAGTTATATTTACCATTAAGGATGTGCCAATACCAAAAAATTAGGTTACAGCATCCCATTAGGCATACAGTCAGAACAGTAATTTAACATTTTGTTCCAGCTTCAGGTATTCGATGCCAACAAGGATGGACGACTACAGCTATCAGAAATGGCCAAGTAAGTGAGATTACATACTCAATTTTCCTCACATTAGTAAAAAATTAATGTATTTTACACTCTTCAACCATATTTTATTTTAAAACATTGGTGCATCTACATTTTTATCTCTCATCTACTGAAATATAAAAATTACAGCCCCATTTTCCCCCAGAACTTACCTCTTATCTGCTTTCACACAGGTTACTGCCTGTGAAAGAGAACTTCCTGTGTCGGCAAGTCTTCAAGGTAAGTGAGGTAACGTAAGAAACAATCTACATACATGTATACATCACATAAATGTACAAAATGCTTAACATGTCCGTAGTTTTTTGGGGTATAACTCTCTCTCTCTCTCATATTTGTCCATTTGACACAATTTCACAGAATGATAATCATTAAACTTGTATTGCTTCTGGATACTTTCCATCACAGCATTGCTAAACACTGTGTGTGTGTGTCTCTCTCTCTCTTTCTCTCTCTCTCTGTATCTCCTCATTGAGAATGTAATGAAAATGTTGGTATCACTGTGTTGTTTGATTCCCTGTAATGTATGTTTGAATGAAGAATCATTCATAGGACTATGGAACAAGCAACATCATATAACTCCACGTTTCTCCCTTCCTTGCCCACGTTCCTTATAAATGAAATAGGGGAACGATATTATGACGTGCCTTAATAACTTCTGAAGCAATTGGAAACCTTTTATAAAACTTGGCATAATCATCATGCTCCTCGACACTGCTTCAACGTTTTGCCTTTTAACTCCCTAACATCAGTAATACGAATTTGGTGGCCACGCAAACTTTTGAGACAGGTGTGACACCTAATTTAATTTTTTTAAACTGTAAATGTGTAAATTTTTTATGCCATTTATTTTTTCAGAATTAAGATGACAATACAGCAGCTGTATGAAATTTTAGTTTGATATTGTATTTCAAGCCAATGTTCATTATTTATCCTGTGACTTCAAAAAATGTCAAAGACCTCTTTCCTCTCAGCTTCTATAAATGAATATTTGAATTAGTTTGAGATAAGTGTTATTATTCTTAAATCATCATCTTACAAGGCAAAGAAGAGTGAATACACTTATATCTCTGAGTTATGAACTATTTATAGCTCGAGATACGTTCTGTAAAGCTAGAAATGTGTTACACTCTTTATTAAACTTTGTTCCTTTCTTCAAGTTTAAACTTTAGTCCTCCAGTGGAGAAGTATTTTATTATTATAAGTGCCAGGTCTTTTTAAATGAGGAAGGTTATCACATCACCTACCACAAGGAACAGGGGACACACATCCATGCCTTAAGAGGAATTCAAACATGTGGTTATCAGCATTCAAGTGGTATAAAACTCTACATGTCTCAGTCTCACTTGATTTTGCTTTAGCTGAAAATCGAACACCAGAGTTATGCAATGAAACCTTTTGGAAATTACAAATCTAAATCTTTGAACATATTCCAAAGAAAAATAGTGGACATAATCTTTTTATTTGTAGATTTCTCTGTCCGTGAGAAATATATATTTCTCTTATCTTGAAGTCCATAACTATTAAAAGTTATTCATTGTTTATAACATGTTTTCATGTTAAAGAAACAAGATCACACATTCCTATATCATTTTATGTCTGCCTCATGTAACCTTAAATCCACTAGGGTTTCCTGTTCATCTTTGTTACATTGATGCTGCTGTGCATTCCTATGAAAAATTCAAAGCAGTTTGTAAAGCTTGGAATGATGAGTGGTTCAACTTCTTACCATTACCTCACTTAAAACATCGTTCTGAGTCAACTCTTTGATAAAAATTTAATGACAGCTTAAGTCTAATTTCTATGACACCACTCAAATTCCATAGAGCTTACAAACTTGTGGTAATTAAGAAATAAAGTAAGTAGGTGGTACCCTGTGAGATATAAAATTTGTACATTTTTGTGTGCTCTCTGTAGAAATTGAATGCTGTGGTCTGTAGAAGTCTCACCTCTTTATCTTCTTTCCAGTTTCCCACTAAACTGGGATCCAGCTAAAATTACTATAAATAAGCAATTTTTAAAGCTGTCTGGTGCAATTTCAAATTTTTATGATGGTTCAGCACTACTTTATATTAGTTGCACTGCTGTTCAAGTTCATATGTAGAAATTCACCTACTGGCTTTAATTTAAAGCCTTATTTTATAAACATACAGCGAGAAAATAAATAACACAAAATGTAGTCTATTTTAATTAATCCTTATAAATATGATTTAATGAAATAATTATTTTAAGGACATCAGAAGCCATTTTACACATAACAATTACAAATTTTATGACAGAAAACTTTCAATAATCCTACCTATTCTACCTATAGTTTTTAGTTTCAAGATATATAAGCTGGTGACTGCTTTAAAAAGTAACATTATAATATAAAACAACAAATTCTGTTCATCGGCAATAATGTCCAGACTGGCTCTGTGGCTTATTGTGCATCATATCCAATCAGAATCATGCATATAGTGACCATAGGAAGCTGAACTCACATTGTGTCAAGATGTTAAACCCATAATTTAAATTGTGTCAAAAATGTATTGCTGAGAACAGAGTAAGCATACAGAATGAATTTAGTTGTCTTAGTCCTGAGTTTGAAATTACCATTGGCTGTATGGCCCTGATTTTATAGTTATCAAGACCATTTTATTATGATGTGAAAAGCACCTGCTAAATTTTTTACTATGTCTGTCTGTCTGCCTGTCCCTTCTCATCTGCTAGTTGCAGCATAATGAGGTTTAATAAACTTTTATGTATAATCTCTTAATAAAATTCTAATACAATGTTCTAATCCTTCATATCATAGCTGATGATTAACTTCTAAATTTTTTAATGTATTTTTCTTACATATTTTGTCAGATTTATCATTCTTAAGACACAGTATATGAAATCAATACTCTTAAGCCATAGATATTTATTTTATAGAAGCAGTGCTATGTAAAGCCTACATTACATTTACTGCAATATTTAACGATAACAATATAGAACAATTCTGTTTTGTAGTATAAACTTGCAGTTTCAAATCACATGTACAGAGTGCATACAAGATCCCTTTATCCCCTCTATTTTGTGTCTGAGTTATGTTTTTTTTTATTTATTTTGTTTTATATTGGTGTGTTACTGTTAATATGAAAGTATTGTGTTAAATAAGCAAATAGAAGGCTAAAGTGTAAGTGAATGAAGAATGATTAGTAATGGTTGTATGGGATCACAAAAATCCATACACAGGGAAGACTGACTGAAATCCATAATTACTTTTAAGCAATATTCCATAAGGATGTTCTTCCAAAAATAAAGTACTAACATGGCAGTGGAAGTTTTATATAGGGGGTAGAAAAAATAAATAAAAAAAGTTCAACTGTGTACTCTCATACATTTGTATAAGAATGTAGAATGTAAAACAGCATGTTCACCATGCAGTATGCAGTCTACATATAGCATTTGGTTTGATTGCAATCACACTGAACCATTGTAGCTAAACATATGAAATTCTCTACAGAAATAATTCATCAACATACCTAAAAATTCTGAATGAAATATTGTTTATATATAAACAATTATAAACAAGGTATTAAAGTTATATGTGACAAACTTAACACAAATTAAATATATACTAGTGGAAATTATGTACTGATGTGCGTCACCAAATAGTATAATTATTAATTTACAATTCTTGCTAGCCATGTCACTTGAACTGAAATATTTAAAACAAAGTAGGCCTCACAAGTTGCTCCCAAAACTTATTGTTACAGTAGAAGAATATGATTCATGAATCCTTGTCCCAATTTTATCATTTGTGTTTATCTGTGAAATGGATATGATGTCCTTACATAATGAAATGTCTCATAAAAGAGTGAACTCACACTCATTCCTTCATTCATGTCAACTATTATTGTTCTTCATTTGTCTTCAATAACAGGAAGGGATAGAAGTAAGTAATGCTTGGTTGGTCTTTTGTAGTAGCTTCATTACATCATTACATGTAAGCTTGGGGAAAGCAACTGAGTCTATAAAATAAGTTAATCATAACAATTCATTTTTCAAATACTAAATATTATGTTCATAAAGTGTCAGTGCCAATCGTTTGAATTTGTGCTAATGGTGTAATTCACTTGTGCAACATGTTCATTAGATGCTTCCTTCTAATAAAGTTAATCAGTCAGAATTGCTGTGCCGATACAGAGCATGAAATTTTAATTTTAATGTCAACATAACTGCCCCTTTCTAGCTTATTTTACCTAGAATTTAACTATTATTGCATAATTACACAATACAGTTTGAGCATAAAGTTGCATATTCCAAATACAAAATGAAGGTTGTAGTATTAATACTTTATACTTTGCAGTTATAATAATAGAGCTCTTAAAATGTATAGTTTTATTGCTATTGATACTGATAACTGAGCAACCTAAACACAGCTGTTAATAAAAAATTATGCTTCCTAAATTCAAAAATTTAGAAACTAACATTCATTCCATCTAGAAAGATGTAGACGTTATGATAGTTGCAACTTCCATTCTTCTTCCAGATTGAAGAAATGTGAACCTTTTGTTTCTCATTCGGTAATACGTGCTTACATTCAAGAAATCTTGCTATATTTCAAAACTGAAACTGAGAGATAAATACCAATGTTTAAAGCTGGTTTCAAACAGAAATTCCAGTGTTTGAGAGTCCCAAACCCACAAGTGCTTTATACCATGCAGCTGCTGGAATCAGCATTATGTGAAAATTAATTTGTTCACACTGTATAATCAGCCTGATAAAATCTTGATTAATAAAAATCAATGCTCAGATGCTAGATTCCATGACTGCATGTTGTTGATGATAAGTTTTCAGATTGTGTTTGGCTGCTGGCTGTGAAAGTAGTGGCATTAAGGTATTTGATAGTGCTTTTGATGCTTCAGCCTCAAACAAGATTCAAATCATCACATGGTAAACAGGATCTATGCTAATTTTTCCCTTGTATTTATAAACTGCTCAGAAATATATAATAAATTCTTATTGAGCTACCAGCCATGCAATGTGGCTTAATGAAGAAATAACCTTGTCCTCAGACCCGGAGGGGTCTGAGGATAAGGATGAAGATGGTTCTTGAAACGTTGGTGTTTTCTTCATTAAGCCACCTTACATGGCTGGTACCCAAGAAGAATGTATTATACTTAGTCAGGTGAAAACTTCAGATCATGTTCTGAAATATATTGTAGAGTTCACATTGCCAAGTTCGGGCAAATTAGTGTTTTTGATTAGTCACTGATAATATTGTCACATTATAATTTTGGGAGAAAACCAGATTTAAAACCTACCAGTCAGTGCAGGTTGTGGTTCAATAATTTTTCTGTGCAGGCCAAAAGTGGAGCAATTATATCATTATGAGGATTTTAAAATATACGTATAATGGGATATTCCATAAAAGTTATTATGTGATGTTAATAATCTTATATAAACATGATCCTGTACTGAAACTAGCACAGGTCCTGCTCACCAAGCCTCTGTATACATGTACACACTCATCCATGTTGTGAGATGATATGAATAATAATGTGGCTATAAAGAAATATATGTGAAATAGAGTTTCATTTAGAAAAATATATATATGGTAGTTGAAATTCATATATTTTTGTGCCCAAATAAATTATACCATTATAGCAGTAGTCAAATGCATTTCAATATTTATAATATGTACATTTGGATATGGGGTGCATGGCATGTTCCAGAACAACAGCTTCTACAGCATATAACACACCCACACACTTAAAAACCATTCTGCTGGTAAATGACTAGTGTACTTATATGGGTTCTGAATACACTGTAAGTTAATTCTTTGGAGTTTATATATACTGAATATGAAAGCCAATTTATGATAAAATGCTGTTTCCATTTAGGCCCATAGTTTCTTCTTAAACTTAAAAGCATAATATACATATGTTATGAATTATAGTAGCTGCAGCAGTTATATTATTAGTCTAGTACACATAACACTTGTACATACTACTATGCATTTCAATAAGAAAGAGATTTCTGACACTTCACATGTGGAGAAATTAATGGTAATATTAATAATAATAATGAGTTTGCAATTAATAACTATAAATTGAAGACTCATGTTAATGAAATTTACAGCCCTTTGTATTACTAATTGTCATTTAACACTCAATTCCTCACTATAGGGTGCTACAAAGCTGACAAAGGATGACATCGAGCGGGTTTTTTCTCTTTATGATAGGGTGAGTATCCAAACTCTTTCACAGAGAACATTTATGTAGGCCTGATACTCTTTTTTTGCTTTATATTTATTATCAGGCCCCAGAAAGTGACCATCTAGAAGTTTTTTCTCTATTTCTATGCACTACACTTAGACTAATTATTAAGAGAGGGCCATGAGATGCAAAATGTTGACTATACATATTTATCTCAGGCCAAGAAAGATAGTGCATTGTGCATAATAAGTTAGTAACCGACATCCACAGAAGCTTAAGAGATGTCTGTGGGGAGGAGGCACTCTGAGATACTAGGCAAAACAAATGAAATAAGAATGACAAGGGAAGCTGATCTCAATGCACCTTGTTGTTGTCGTCATACTATTTCAGATACACTGAGTCAATACTGCCACCGCAAATAATCTGAAGGAGTGTTTACTAGAATTCAGCATTAATTTTTAAATGATGTTAATTTGAAACTATGGAATTTTCAGTATAACTGCAGCATAATTAAAAGAATGCTATTTGGTGTGACAAGAACAGAGGTTCTCTGTACCTACATTGCTACACAACAACAAGAGAACCAAACTGGAGCAATGGAAATAAGAGTCCTAAGGACTGTTGGAGAATACAGAACAGATCGTGTCAGAAATTAAGCAATCAGCTACGAATTAACATATTTAATAATCCTAGAGTTTATTTAAGAGTACAAAGACTCATAAATAATTCTTGTCACTCAAAAACAGAAGAGAGCAGGTATTTTATCAGGTTTCTTTCACTGAACCATTTTTCCCCCTGAAAATGGCATACTGCTCTAGAATACTGACATGGTGAAACATATCATAAAAGAGGATTGAACATTCTAAAATTTAACATAAGTACCAAATGTTCAAACTTCTGTTGTTGTATTACAGGACAACAATGGTACAATAGAAAATGAGGAGCTCAGGGGATTCTTGAAGGACTTGTTGGAATTGGTTAAAAAGGTAAGCTTACTTGTATTTGTATGGGCTCAGGAAAAGTGAAGAGGAAAAGAATGCAAGAGTATCATAGTTTACTCACAGGCATTATTTAATTTACATTATGCAAATAACAAAATGCAAGGAAATATTTGTAATAACAATCAATCCAAATTTCCATTCATGCACATTCTGAACATGCATTGGAGGTTTCATTGCAGAGTAGCTTGTTTGCATCCATATGTTCATACCTAATTAATATAATACAATACAGATATCTGACCAAGCAAGTTGGCATCTCACTTGCATGTTACAGGTACCAATTCCTAATCTCATCATAGTTGGAGATTTTTATTGAGGGCTTTTGTGGATTTTCATAGTCTTTCTTGGTTAATGCCAAGATAGTACCTTAAAATAGGTCTTTCCATGTTATAGTGTTATAAAGTTATCAAGTAACCAGTCAACCACACATCAAACCTACTTTTTGCACAGTTCCATAAACCTACCTAACTCATTCCATGGAGCAAAGTTCTTCAGAAGCTAAAGTTCCTCAAGTGGTGAATAAATAACCTGCCTTTCACAGAATCTGAAGGTTCATTACAATGTTTGAAAGAGCCCAGCACTAGTCCTTATCCTGAGTAAGCCCAAAGCTTTGTATAACATTTCATATCAAGCATGTTTTCACAGTGGTTAACCCCTGTCAAATACCTATGTGAAAGACAACCACTCATCAGCTCTTTGTGCCTACTTAATCAATGTACCTGTTTCAATATCTGGAGGCAATTTTGACCACCCATACCTTGGAGATGGAACATGCTGTGGGGAAAGTGACATACATAACATTAATTCCATATATCACGTAGAAGAATGTTGTCATTTTATATTGTAATGGTTAACTCCTCATTAAAAGCAGTTTACTGTGACAGGATTATGATGCCCAAGATCTTCAGGATTTTGAGGAGACAATCCTGCGTGGAGTGGACTACAACCAAGATGGAAAGATCAACAGGAAAGAGCTGACAATGATACTACTTGCACTTGCTAAGCACAACCAAGAAGAGGAGACAAGTGCATAAAAAACCCCGTACCAACCATTGCATCCCAACACCAATTTACCCAGATCAATATTGTTTCTATTTATTTTTGTACATATACATGAAGTGAACTTACATTAACAGTGGTCATTTTGCTTCCAGAAACCTAATAAGAAATATTAAATAAGCACATTTTGTTTAAAATTCTTCACAGTATTATTAACTTCAATTTTACATCATCTAGATTACTTACAATGGTCTCCTTTGTTGAATGGGTATGAAGTTATGTAAGTTATATTTTTGGAAAAGTAATAATAAAATGCTATTAGTATGTAAGTAAGATAATGATGAAAGTTACCACTGTAACTACAGATGCATAGACTTCACTTTAAGAAAACCATCATGTAAAGGTTATATTTGTTTTTATTTTCAGAGCTAGATAAACTTTTTATTTATTATATAACATCCTGCCCCATTAAATTCTTCAGACGCAGGGAAAAGATCATTATTACGATTAATAAATAATGAAACACCAAGTCTAATACACTAATAAATACAGGACTATGATAACATATAATTCTGGCTGAACCCAATCTGTGTGATCATTAACGACAACTTTTATTTCTGTTGTAAAAAAAGTGTTCGGATTCTGAAATCAAGATGGCTGCTGGTATGTGTTTGAATGTATGTTTTATAGAACGACCTTGTTCTAGTAACTACATTTTACTTGTATAAAGTATATGCATACTGAGCTGAAAATACAGTTATTCAGTTCAGGTCAATATTAACAACACATTTATGACGTGTTCCAAGTCACTACGCTCAGCTATGATTACTATATGTGTCAACTAAAATACCTCTTGTGATCACATGTTGTATATAACATTTGAAGAATTTGAGTTAGAAATTAACAAGAAACACAAGATGTCTAAACAAGAAAATGATTGCTTTAACTGAGACTAAATACATCAGCAAGTGACCTATAATCTTAATTGCTTGACAACACAATGGCACCTGTGTTTCTTGGGTTTCTTTATAAGCTGTGTTAGCTGCTGAGGTTATTTGCTGTTGAATGAGATAACAGTTGTGTAACCAGAAATCTGGATAATGAAACAGCCATGACCTGTTTCGAGGTACTAATATGATATTTGTCTGAAAGGGTTGAGTAAAACTATCGAAAACACTAAGACCAGTTGGTGTTCTGGTCAGCATTTAAACCACATGTCTCAGTCAAGCTGCTTTGTTGATCTGCTTGGTATGATGATCATTTCAAAGTATACTAGTACTCAAGTACGGCCATTTTTCCCATTCAAATCACAGACAAATGAAAATGACAAAAGTAGTACAGATTGTTAAATGACTTTTGATTGTGTATAAATTAGTTGAAAACTGTTAGATGCTATTAAATATTGTGGCTGCAAAAAATTATAATGGGCTTGAAAGAGAGGATTATAAGACCAAAAGTAGTTCACAAAAACATGGTTAAGTTAACAGTTATATTTTAGTTGGGCTGGAACAGACTACTGTCCTTCAGGCTAATATTGGTGATCTAGGAATTTAAGTGAGGAGGACATGGATATTGTAACAAAGGGACTTGGAACACGACTGAAAATTTTTACTTTCAGGTTTCCCCAGTTTTTGCCCAGTATGTTATAAAAAGGTACCAACATTGCTATAGATCGTGTTTTAGCTTGGCATGAGTGCTTTCCTAGCACATTTTGGTCACAAAAGTATGATTAATTTTAATAATTACGTTTTTAATTTTAACTTTTATAAGCATATGAACATGCCAACTTTGTTAATATGGAGGCCATAAATAGCTTTTATTTGTATGTTTACATCTTAGGCCTATAATGTACATATTTTTAACAGTGGAGTGATGGCTTCCAAGCTCTTCTACCTGACTGACAGCTCTATTTCACTACTCACATGAGTTACTTACAGGATTTCCACAATGTCCTGGCACTCATGTATTTTTTGTTCTACCATATGAATGTCAAATGGCAGAACAGCACCTTAATACAGGTCAGAACCACTTCTCCCACAGCCTTCCAGATTCACAACTCATTATTATCCTGCCATCTATCATTCTGTTTAATCTACACAGTTGACACTCAATTCTTCAATCAACAATATAAATATAGTACATAATGTTATGGTGAAATATCAGAATAAAGGTTATTACTCGAATAAATAAATGTTTGCTAAGAATTTATAAGTTTAGCCTTGTTATATACATGGACATAACAACTCACACCTATATATATATATATATATAAAAAATTGCAATTATTAACCATTGCATGATAAAAATTGTTACTGTGTATGATTATTTGATTATGTACAAATCTAGGTAACTAACTGTTGTAACTTTTAATATGCATTCTGATGTCTTTCATACCCCCTCCTCCTTGAATTTGCTCTAAAGAATATCCCTTTTATTTAATGCCCTCTTTTTATATTTTCCTCCAGAAATCCTACTTCTGATTATTTTGCATATGGTCAGTTAACTACTTACCACATCAGTCATCATTCATCATTATTAAAGTAGCATAGTAAAACAGATATCAGTGTGAAAAATAAGGTGAGGTACTTGCAGCATGATTAACATTCATTGTGCTTGACAAATTCACTGGATTCATATATGTTGTGCTAGGTCTCACTCTGACAAGAGTCCTTAACATGGAATAATTACTTAACACACTTAAACACTTTTAAAGGAATTTTAACAAACTCAACAATTTTTGGAGGGAGGGGGGTCAGGGTTTTATTGAATTTCTGAAATTTTGTTGTACCAGTACTCACAGTGTGAAATATTTTCTCTAAGAGTTTTTGGCACATTGGCAAGAAATAAGTAATTTGCATTGCTCTGAAACTGCATCATATCAGCATTTGTTATACTAAAATGTTACTGTAATGACTTCATTTAGTGGTCCAGACATTATGATTTTGTCTAAATAATAACAGTTATAGGACACTGTGGACATTCTGTACATTGGCCTAATTATTTTGACTTTTACGCTGTCATATTGATTGTAAAAACCATAATTACTCTAGGACAATGTACCTTCCATACACATCATATCTTTACAAGTAGATGTACTTGGATTTTTAAATCAGATTAAATTAAAAGGATGACTGTAATCTGATTTTAAACATTCAAAAATTGTTTTAACCTACAAATACAATATATATATATATATAATCTAAATGAAAGTGAACATAAATAAAAATCTTAATCTAAAACTTTCTTCACAGTTAGTAATGACTAGTGATTCTGCTTCTAGAAGCACTTTGCAAGCTATTTTAGAAGTTACTAGTGAAAGAAATGAATTTAAATCAATGCTAAATTTTCTCTATAATACTGCACACAATTTAAGGAACTGTAAGCACAAATAGCATTAAACTACATACTACTACTATGCATTCCATTACATCTAAAGATACTGATTACCCACAGATCATTTACATTATTTTTCTTCCATCCCAACCTGCCTTTTTATATAACTGATAAAACTATAAATAAATAAATAGATAAATCTGTTCAGTTCTAACAGTGCATTGCTGACACTTTTGTCAGCACTTTTGAGTGACAGTTGACACTGTGTTATTGTTGACTGGTTTGCTTGCTGACATTTTGAAGACATTTGGCATCTCTATCTCAAGGTAAAAGTACACATGCCTCATCTTTAACCATTTAATTTATCTGAAGTATAAAATTTAAATATATTTCATATCTGTGATTATGTTAATGACTTTTGCTTTAATTGTGTATAAATGTCAATCTCACAAGCAATCTTTCATATTATTTACTGTTAAAATGTTCATTATTTTAAGAGAAGATTGTTTTGCTGTTATTTATATATATATTCTGATAATCACTACTGTTCATTAAGAATAACTAATATGGATGTTGTTTTTGATAAGTATATAAGGGTGTTATAATTAAGTGAAGGAAAAATTTTGCATGTATGGTGCTAAGCTTAAGGAGTAATGGAAAACTAAGAGTTATAGTTAGTAATAATAATAATAATAATATAATATTAAAATTAAGGTATGCTGGACATACTATTTGTATTCTTGAATAATAAGGAATGTTATATTTCCCCATGAATTAACTGTATTTTCTTAACAGGAAATCCATTTGAAGTCAAAGTTGAATACATCAATACATGACAAGAATACAGAAAATATCAACCACTAAGAAATTAAAACCAAAATTAAATGTCATGATACAGATCAAAATCTGTCTGTCTAAAGTACTTCGCTTTCTCACTGCAGAGGGGGGAGGAAAAAAACACTCGTTTTTCATAATAGCATATGCTTGATATTAAACAGACAGTTGTAAGCTACACTGTGTCTCTGTTTGGCACTATTAATGAATCTGAATAATATAAAGTCAGACAGTAATTATGAGGGTTCAATAGATCCACTTGCCTGATCATCTCTTATCTGGGACAAGTAAAAAATTGATGCTGAATATTTTTAAAATATTTGGTATTTTTCATTAATAGTTTCTCCCTCTCTATTTGGTTGTAAGTGGTGTGGATATGAGTTTTTTTTTTACTGAATAATGACAATTATGAACACCTGGATGTGGGAAAGATGTAACAGGAAAATATAATTCTTAGTCAGCATTGTATGCATAATCCAGCACTTTGTTTCAATTCAATTGGTGTGACACATATTGTGCCAAGAACTGCTGATAATGGTTACTCAGCTGTCCATTGTGCAGGCCAATTGTAATTAGTGGGTTGCTGACAACAATTATTCACAATATAGTATTCTGTATAGCTTATATATTATGTGACTGAAAGTTGGCTGGTATAGAATCAGCACAGGTGCATGCAGTTTCTCTTGTGAAAGAAATATCTGTCAAGTAGAATGTTTGTTTAACTGGTGAATTCAGCCAATATTTGTTGACACCTGGTAATTACTTCATTAAACAACAACATGAAGCTTTGTACAAATATTACAACATGGACACAATATTGTATTCTACAGTGTCAAGTTAATTAAAATATTTGAGGCCATATAATAAATGCAACTGCATGATTATGAGCCACTGTTACTTGGTAAATGCTTAGGAATGACTATTGAACTGTACATTTTTATTATCTTTCTGTGGTTTCCTACATAAAATCAGGAACATATACAATGTTTGCTAATAAAGAGGACTCAGTTATAGAAACATTTTCTGAACAAACACATTGTTGAACTGATAGTTTGTTGCTAGATTTTCACAAAAATTTGTCTGCATGTATATTCCTAAACTGTTTTAAAGATAACTTTTCAGTCATTGTGGATAAAAAACTTTTCATTGTAAGACAAGAGTCTGATTATTTGTGATACCTTAAAACATATTATCTAGAAAGTTGAGTCTGTTATTCACATCAGTAATATGAGAATTGTGAAACAATTAATTTTCATATGTTGTAGTGGAATTCCTTATCATTTTTTTCTATCAGCACACCTATAATGTCACATGGAGCATTGATATTGCCTTTACTTCAAATTGCAAAACTCTATGGCTGTATAACACCCAATCCTGACAGTCAAGTGAGATTTACTTCACTAATAATACTTGCACCATAAAAGTATTGAGTAAAGAGAGAAGTTTGGTATAATTAAAATTAACCACTAGATATGGAAACCCTATTTGCCATAAATTTAATAACTTAAAGGCAAAAATTGACCTATTATTACAATCAGTTTGTTATGTATTATATGCCTCTGTGTGTGTGTGTGTGTATGCATGTATGTGTGTGTGTGTGTGTGTGTGTGTGTGTGTGTGTATTAGTGTGCACATTCAGCTCGCACACTGTGGCAATAAGAAGGTAAATTGCAACAGCGTTCACGGAAATATGGCATATATTCTTCGAACCCATAAAAAATCCTCTGCATGGCACAACATAGATCACACTATCAATACATTATTATACAGTGTTATGCCAATGTGTGTTAACTACATTTTCATATGGTTGATATTCCAATGTATAAACACCTAAAGAAAGATAATTTTTAAAAGTAATGTTATGGGAATATTTGATGGAAGAAATATTGAGAATGTTTTTGTAGATGTTTTGTGTCTAAATCCCTGGCTTGTTGAAAAGATTGTAATAGTTATTTATGTTATGATATATATTTACATGTTTATTATATAAAATTAATTGTTGATATTGCATATATCAATGGTTTGTCGTAAGCATTGTCATCAGTTAACTGTTAAATGTTAATGAAAATTGTAATCCATTGCAATAAAATGGAGAAAATTTATACCAGTTGAAGGTGCACTAGTTAAAACTTACCCCAATCCTCTCCATGGGTGATCCTTCCAACATGTCTTGGTTTTGTACACTATTTATTTCAGCTTTATTTATCTGTTACTTACAGGAATGAGTTGCCCAGCAAGAGTGATATATTTGGTAAATTAATCCATGCATTAGCCATGATCAAACATGCAATATGTCATTCGTTTGGTCATGGTTTTAGCAAAACAGCAGAAGTTACGAAACATGTATTATTTTTAGAGGTGACAAAAATGTTTTCATAAATACACATTTTTAAATCTCTCTTTAGGATTATGTATCTAGTTTAATTTTTTATTTATTTGTGATTTATTCAGTGCTAATAGTTAATATCTTGGACTACATAGCATCAAATTATAGGATAATTACTAACTAACTAGATGGCCTACTGAACCTAAAGGTTCATCACCGACTTAACCAAAGCCCTCCACCGTACCCTGTCCTGGGACAACAAAATCCAATCTCCTTCAACTCCTATCTCCCATAGATCCTGCCTGACATTATCCTCTAGGTCTCCCCAGCTGTCTCTTCCCCTCAGGCTCCCTAACCAATACCTGGTACACACCTCTTGCCCCATCCATGCGCACTACATGCCCCAGCCAACTCATTCTTCTTGACTTAATCACCCTGATAATACTGATGGAGGAGTATAAATTTTTAAGTTAATCATTATGTAGTTTTCTCCAGACCCCATTGTCTTCTCTCCTAGGCCCAAATATCCTCCTCAACACCCTATTCTCAAACACCTGCATTCTATGTTCCTCCCTCAGAGTGAGAGACCATGATTCGCACCCATACAGAACAGGCAAAATTATTTGATAAGTAATTGTAAAAGATGTGGAAAGAAGTGGCCATAGCATAATTTATGGTATTATTCCAGTATTTACCTGAGAGGAACCACTACGAACCTTAAGACAGTCAGTCAAGGGGCTGAGAATTGAAGGGACCTCATGAATATAATGGTAACACATGACTAACAGTATGGTACACAACAATTTGTGGTATAGAGTACCTGATAATCAAACTGTTGCTGCTAAGCATGCAGAATGTTGCATGGTAATATGTATGCAATCTTGCCTTTAGGCTTTGTATGATATGCCATGTTGCTTTGAAAAGTACAGTAATGGTGACATATGGTAATGATCAGAGTGGTAATAAACTTTTATCCTCCAGGGTGAAATATACGGCAATGCATGTAGGGAATACCTCAACTACCAAAGGAAACATGGTCTTGAATGACTATCAGGGAAATTCAATATGCACATTGCACTCTTTTCACTTTATTATTTTGACTACAATGATTATGATCTTGGTCTTCGAATGTATTGTTTGCATACAGAGAGAAACACGAATTTACTACTGCCATCTCTGTTACTCTGTGTGCAATTACTAAAACAGTACAGAAACGTATACATTAGTATTAAAATGGCGAACCATTATGATGTCCCGAGTTGGTACGATATGTTTAATTTTTGTTAGCTTCTTAACACAACTGTGTTTTCGTCCGAGTGTATGATATACTTGTGTTTTGTTTCCTTAAATATGTTCATGTCAGAAATTGTCATCATTTTTATGTCTTAAAAATGGCATACCAGTGAGCATGTGTAGTAATTTAAGGTTATAAAGAATTATTGAGACCTGAGCAATTCCTTTTTGCAGGGCTGGTAAACCGCCGGTTGGTCTTCATTTAGACGTTTTAAAGGGCGATAAACTAATCCAGGTACAAGTTTCGAGCCAAATTTGTGTGTGAATTTAATAGGAAGGAGGTTTAATAGTAATGTCCGTTTACTGACACTTTAATTTTCAGAAATTAATGATTGATGAAAAGAAATGTTATCTATTTGGTCGAAATCCCCAGATGAATGATTTCTGTATTGACCATGCATCGTGTTCTCGAGTACATGCAGCCCTTGTCTACCACAAGCAACTGAACAGGGCTTTTCTTGTGGATTTGGGGAGTAGTAAGTATACTGTTTCCATTAAATATATGAATGGGAACTAGTGTATTGCCTATCAGACTTTTTACTTGCACTATGTAGAAGACATTTGTTAGTATTGGAGACATTAATAACAAGTTACTTATTACTGTACAGAATATACAAGTTCCTGTTGGCAGTCCAGTATGCCAAATATTAGTTTCCAGCATAACCACTATGTAAACCAGTTCCAAGGTTATGAAAATATATTTTAAAAATAAATCCGTTATTTTTAGTAACCTGTATGATCTACTGTATATGTTTGTGGAATGGCCATGGCAGTGGGAAGGACAAACAGATTTTGTATGTGATTATGTTTAGGATCTAAAAAGAACCCAGGTAACACAACTTTTATGTTGGGTTTTAAGTTCTTTGTATTTGTCTCCCGAGGGTATACCAGTGATGTTATTGACTGTATTCAGATAATGGTTGATGAGAGTTCAGATCGAATCTTTAGTCTAAATAAACACTGCAGTTACTCACTAACAGACTAGTATGGAGAGTGGAGTGGATTCATCTGGCTGAGGATATGAATAATAGGCAGGCTGTTATGAACTGTTAATGAACCTCTGCATTCCATAAAAGCTGGGGAATTTCTTGGCTAGCTGAGCATACTGTTAACTTCTCGAGAAAGACTCTTATCTACTGAATTATAAACAGTTAGTTAATTTTAACGTATCTGATGTTGGAGTATAGAAGCATAAATTAAAGTAAACCAAATGAAACACACTTGTCACAGCAGCTGATGACTGTCTTATGTTAACATCACTGAGTGAGGTTTGAGGGAACAGTGTGGGCAGAATTAAGCCTCATACATGAAGTGCAGGACATTATTGGTTAGGTTATTTGGTTATTCTGCTATGCTGTTGAGGTTCCATAATGTTGAATGAGATGTAATAGATTTTTTGTGAATGTGAATTGTGAGAATGCGAGAAGCAGTAATAATCCATTTTAAGGTACTGACTTGGCATTTGAAAAAAATCTGAAGAATACTCTTTTGGGACAGATGGGCAATGGCTGCAGTTGAAACTTGGTACCTCCTAAATCCAAGTTTGCCATCAGTGTTTAGTAGTAGCCATATCCTTAACCATTTATTCTCATGTTACACACTGTGTTTTGTCTTGATATGAAGCCTCTGCATTATTAGGATTTTCTGTGTTTCTATTTCTCTAATTACTCTTAGAACTTTTTTATGCTTATAGCTCATGGAACATTTATTGGCTCATTACGTCTGGAATCCCATAAACCAACTCAGCTTCCAATTGACAGCACATTTCACTTTGGTGCTTCTACACGGTATTACATAATTCGTGAACGTCCTCAAACAGGAGCTCGGCCAATCATTGAGGAGTTGGAAAAGACATCAGAGGAAGCTGAAGGTGGCTTGCTAGGCTTACCTGAAACAGAAACTGAACTGGATGTAAGTTGACTGCATATGAATTTGATGTCTTGATTTAAATTGCACAACATAACTTATGTCACCATTTTGACCTGGAATCAGTAAATACTGACTTATCTTAACTAGGCCAGTTGATTATTCAAACTGTTTTAGAATGAATGTTTCACTAGAAGGCACACTTTTTATGAAAAACATTAGAGAATAGTTTTCTGCTCACTGCTTCAAAATTTTCAGTAAGCACAAACTAGCTGCTGTTTGTGTATGGAATCCAAAATGTTATTCACACATTGATCCAGGAGTCTGTTAGCACATGCTTTGGATGATAATAGTTTTTATCAGCAGTAGATCAGTTTTCATGCCATATTTTTCTGTCTGTACTAGAGTGTATTTACGTATTGCATGATTACCCATGTGGCAGCTAACACTTAGAGGATGCAGTGTTTGCAATTGGCCAAATCAGAAAAGTTTTTGGATGAATATCATTTTCTTGTTTTACCTCACTAATCTTGTTTGCTTTATTGTTTCAGAATCTTACTGAGTTTAACACGGCACACAATCGTCGTATTTCGATGTTGGGTATTCCAGATGAAGAGATTCGTCCAACATCACGTAAACGTAAGAAGAAATCATTGACTTTCAGTGAAGAGGAAGAAGTAATCAATCCTGAAGATGTTGATCCATCAGTTGGCAGATTTAGGAACATGATTCACACAACAGTCATACCTACAAAGGTACTTAAGGTTTATACATTTTCTTCTTGTCTAGGATTGAGATATAAGCAAGTGAAGTGGCCTGTTGCATAGGACATAAGTCTGTGCTGAATAATGCATCAACTGATAGTACTTAAAGTGTGTGTGTATACATAATTTACTTTAGTCACTTTAAAGTTTTTAGTTATATTACGTTCCCTTCTCTTACCTTATGAAGTATAATGTTTATAATTCCTAATAAAATATTAACATCATATCCCAGAGAGATACTTTAGAACTGTGGTTAAAAGACCACTATGTGGTATTTTAAACATTTCAGGTGTTTGTTTAAAAAATTGTTTTCTCTCTAACCAGTTCTGATTGTATAATTTAGATGCACAGTTTAGAGGTTTCTTTCCTTTCAGGGGGTTTGTGACAGTTTAACTGTTGGCGATTGCATGAGTTTCGAAACTTTAGCTTCAGACTCTTTTTAGAATTTCAGTAGTTATTCCCATTTTATTTAACATGTTATATCTGGTTGGATATTTATGAGACTACTGCAGCCTTTTTGTCAAAGAGGGAAGATCTTGCTACCTTGGTTTTTATTATACCCTGAAATATTGGTATCTTACTAGTACCTTTCTTTGTGTTTTGGCTAAACTGTTTTCTATAACTTGTGAAATAAGTTACATAACATCAGAAATATACAATTGTAGTACAGTGAAACCTCTATCCATCGTTCCCGGAACTATCGTTTTCCCGGATGCATCGTCCGTTTTGTTCGGTCCCGAATACATCCCATATAAAATAATGTTACATTTTCCCGCTTCTATCGTTCCTCGAACTATCGTTTTATCGCATCGATCGTTCAAAAATCTTAGTCCCGTCCCACAATTTTCCCGCAATGATCGTTTCTGAGAATTTAAAATGCTGGGTTTTGAGATAAATTAATGCCGGAAGATGCACAATGTTTTTGGAATACGCAGTAGCGGTAACCTGTTATGTCGCCCAACCAGCACATTCTTTTGGAATGAGGGTCAGCGGTGCAGGGGTGATAGTTGGAGTGAATGGCGGTAGAAATTTTACGATTTTAATTTGGGTGCACTCATATTTCGTTCCAGCGATGCCAGATGGCATGTGCAGTGTGAATTTCTTCACAAATGCTTTTATTACAAGTACAAAGGAAAGGCTGGCGGCACTTTTCATTCTTCTGGTTCATCTCGTTTCCAGCGGTTCCGGGTCTTCTACAGCTACGTTTCGTTGAGTTCGGCAGTAATAGTATTTCCATTCTTCCTGTTATTGTCCGCAAAGGGGGTTGGAGTGGTGAGGAAGAGGGAGACGACGAATGCGAGCCCGAAGCTTTGCCGAGTTTTGCCGAAGCACACGCTGCATTGGCGAAAGTGAAGTCGTTCTTTTATGCGCTTAATATTAGTGAACGTGACGAAGAAAACATTTTGAACGTGGAAAGTGCTCTGTTTGGTCTAAAACGTAAAGTTTCAACAAACCAGTTGTCCATTAAAGACTTTTTTGGTAAAAAGAAGTAACTTTGAAATAGAAACATTGTTTTTTTTTAAATTTTTAATGCTTTCCCGCATCTATCGTTTTCCCGCATTCATCGTTTTTATTTCCCACCCCCGCCGAAAACGATGCATCGAGGTTTCACTGTAGTCATCACAAACTCGCATGTTTCAAGACTACAGAAGGAGTTTGCTATACTTACAAGACAGCTCAAAGTCAACAATAATGTTGCTAACCATAATTTACCTTAATTACAAAATTTACTTGAACCCCATCACATTTCTAACCATATCATCTATCATTATTATCATCTTTACTATATTCAGTCAAGAAGCAGAAAAATGTAGAATTCACATTGTCTGTAATTTTTATTTTAGCGTCAGCGAGTGGATGGAATGGGACCTACTAGTGGATTAACAAATAGCTCAGATGATCGTCTGACGCTGATGAAGCACCTCCATCCTTCTGCTATCATGCCTCACCTTTATCAAGATTTGCCTCCTGAAAGCCATGGTAATGTCAGTAGTGGGGCATCAGCCAGTTCTCCAACAGGTAATTTGTTTTATCAAACTATCTATCTTTGATAGCAGGCTAGATAGGTTCCACATCAGCAATCCTAATTTCCCTAAATGAATGCATTTCTTGGAAGTTGTTCATTATGTGAAGATTCATTAAATAAAACTGTATTTTGTAATAATTTAAAGACTGCAATGAAATGTTACAGTGACTTGAGGTAATACATACACATAAGGAAAAGTAAAAAAAAAGAAAGTTATATTTTAGTTTATCTGAAAAGTGATTGTTTTTCAAAAACTTGTTGAATTGCTTGAAATAGTAAGAAAGCATGCTTGTCGATTAAAGATTGCTTCCAGGAAGGTTGTGTAGACCTAATCTGTGTGTAGATAATCATGTATAAATATTATGTTTAAAAATGGTGAAACTGCCCGAATATTGGAGACATCTGTTACAAAACTTGAATGTGAAAAAATGTGTTATTAGTATTTTTAATTAATAAGGATATATGTATCCCTATATGAATGTAGTTGTGAATTATCAATTGTTTTGTAATATATGTTTAACTTTTCCACTCTGTTAATACAGGTAATTGAGTCTACTGTATAAAGATAAAAGGAACAGAAAATAAGGAAATTAAGTGATAGATAGCAATATGTTTTGCAATAAAACAGCATATGACATAAGAATGATGACAGGCTGTGCACAGAGTGGGATAGGTGGAGAATGTTTGCATTGTAGCAGAAATTCATTTTATAGACTGATAAAGAGATATTCATTTTTCAGAAGCTTGTAAATGTTTTATATGAGAATGTCTGTAAAATAAGGATTTGGTTTCCAGTGAAAATGTCTTAAACTGGTGGGAGAATTTGGTATAATCCTTTTATGTCATTCCCTGAAGAGAGATTCTTTGTTCTGTGTTTCATCTACAAGAACTCATATGGAAATAGTCAGTAAGAAACATGAATTGTGTAAGATACAGGTATTCTGCAATGAAGTTGTGATGATGTGTTTTCAGGAATGTCTGCTTCTGCAGGTGGCAACAACCCCCTCCTCTTCTCGTCAGCCTTGGCTTCCCGGCTAGGTCTTGCTTTGCCAAACCCCGCTCCTGAAGTAGAAATGGCACCCACTCCTCACCCACCGAGTGCAATGCCAGGTCAGGGAGGACCCCTGGCTGCTGCAGCAGCTGAACTTAGTCATGAACCTAAGAAAAAGAAGTATGCAAAGGAAGCATGGCCTGGCAAGAAACCCATGCCCACACTCTTGGTCTGAGGTGCTGGCATGGTGAGAAATCTGTGTATTTTATGGGGAACAAAATACACTTTCAGAAGGTATAAGTTATGGGCTGTTTCAGACAAGTGTGTATCTATGCCATGCTTTTGACATGTTGATATAGAGATTTGTGTGGATGGTCAGTAAACATGCAAAAGAAGTTGGTAAAATATTTCAAGCCACTGATTATATACATTTAATGAGACTGTGGTTTGAATAGGTGCATTTCACAATTACTGCCAATGTTTTCTTGGAAGTGTGCCTTGAATTGGAAAATGTTTTCCCAGTGGTGATGCTCATTACAGGTTAGGTCTTTATTTTGCTTTAAAACTTAAGTTTTTAGTACAAAGATATTTGGTATAAATTCTCTATTTTTGCAGATTAACTAACCTCTGCCCATTTCATTTTCTTTCTTGTGGCATCAGGTTGGATCTTCCTGAGGACACTGTGAATTCTCAAGTAGTGAGCTGTTAGTATGCAAATAGTACGGGGCTTGATCACATCCACTTTCACAAGAAATAAGTTTATGCCAGTATATGCATTCACATCCAACCAGTCACCTGAATATGGGAACAGGTCAGACTATAACTCAGTACATCCAATTTTAACTTTTTGGAACTTATTCTAGATTCCTTCACACAGAACATATCAATATTAAGTATACAATGGAAGGGCATGCTGTAGTTTCAAAAGCACGCTTTCAAAACGTGTTATTTAGAACTGCCCATCCCTTATTGTTTTTGATGTTTATTTATTGCAGTTACAAGTCTCTTGTTGTCAGAATTGATCAGCACTGGCTGTATGGAGGTCATTAGATACGCACTGTATCAGAAACATAAAGTTATATAGATCTTGATAACATCTGTATTTTATATCATGTAGACATTTTTCTGTGATCATTCATTTTTAAGATTTGATTTGAGCTTCATGTAAAATAGTGGTTACATTTGATTGGTATGGACCAATAAAGTTCTCTGAACAACTTTCATGTATCTCCCCCCCGTACCAAATTTCTCTGAAATGTGTTAAGTAGTTTTATAAAAGAAACATGCATGTAGATGAGAAACAGGATTTTTTAATTTCACATTTATAGTTAGCTCATCATCCAAAGAATGCATAAATTGTGGAAGAACAGGAGAAGTGTTAAACTCACTTTCCTAGGACCAAGCAGTAATAATTTAAAAATAATGGACTGTGTTCTCAGTTGGTAATAACATTGACAAACAGATAAACAACAATATTAAATTCACATACTCAGGAATTTAAAAAAAACTTGAATTACAACAAGGTATGAATTCAGCTGGCACTGACATGAAACAAAATAGAGAGACTCCACCACTAATGTTGAGTCATGTACCTGAGCTGTTACAGAAAGAAAACAAGTTAGAAGATATATGCACAGTGTAACAATTCTGGCTTTTTCTCCAGAATCAACATGTGCAAATGGTGCCAGTGATATCAATTATCTGGGTTAGTGACCTTTGTGTGGGTGTCTTCATGGAGGATTCTCACATGTGGTTATGTGACTGGCTATGGATTCTGGAGGTAACCATGTAAACCAAGGTAATTCTTGGATTTCTCAATCAGCCATTTCCATGCAATTTTATAGAAAATCAGAATGTGTCAACAAATTTGACTAAAATATTGTAGTATCAGATTTGATGAAAATTTGTTCAGCTTGTCTTGAACTGTTCAATGCATATGGACAGATTGATGAAGCAATTTTTACAGATGCTCCTCAGGATTGTGTACATGTTTAAATACAGTAAGTGTTTATTTAATGTTAGCATGACAAAAAACAAAAAAGAGAGAAGAGAAATCAAGTAAGGCATTGACACACACATTCATTTTACTTTTTGATAAGTGTGAAAATGAAACACCTTCAGTTGTTGATACATCTTGCGCCTATTATTGAAAGAGAAAAAGAAAAAGAAGATAGTGCATATATTTATATTATTTGCAAAAGAAATCAGAATTTTGGAACTCTTAAACAAGGCAGATAAGAAGGGATGTATTTCAGGCTTTATGTCCTTTATATTCTGTAATATCTAAATGAAAATAAAACATACAAAATTAAACTGTTATTATTTACTAGAAACTAATTCTATAGAGTGAAGTTGGTAGTCTAGGGATGAGTTACTGACTTTCTGCACAACAGTCTCAGGTTTAAAAATGAGCTGGATCCTTTGCCATTTTTTCCCTCCCTCATGTACACATCAGAAGTTGGTGAAGTCAACATTTTATGAATGTTGGAATTTCAGGTCTGTACTGTGGTTTTGAAGCCATAAACTGTAGGATCAACCTTTTGTGTGCTCCTGGTTTTAAATTAGTAGATTTTTTTGCTGCATGTGACTGCCAAAGAGCAAAGGGAATTATAACCAGTACTGAAATATACAACTATAAGACTTTAATATTTATATGATATCAAATTTTGTCCCTTTGGAAGTAATGAAATCAACGTTTCTTTATATATTGTATTTGCTTGTGGCCATTTATACACATTTCATGCAGGTGTCAGTTTGATGGCAAGTTGAAATATGTCATTTAACATCATAACAGTTTAAAGATATATAGTTTATAACCAAAACAATGTACATTATATAAAATTAGATAGAACTGAGTGTGTTTACTATACAGGTTTGACATGAAGGAGTTTTTTTCAGAGATGTTTTTATATGGTAATGACTGTTTTTAAACATTCATGTTGGAGCAGTATTGTTCAGTCTTGTTAATAATTTACTTATCCCACTCACTGCTGTGTGAAATCAAGAAGATGAGAGACAGGATCTTCTGTTGCTACTTTATTGTTTCCATAATCGAAGAGATTGCTAATTGATAAATTTTATCGCATAAATTATGTATATGAAAAAAAGAAGGCCATCTTTACTATTAGGAGAGTTTGTGTGGATATTGAAAAATTCTTTTGTACCCAACTGCCACATTTTATTGCATTTTTAAGAAGTTATGTAATGTTTGGTTTGTGTTATTAATTACATGGGGATTTAAAAAATGCTGCATCATAAAAATGTTTATTTGTACTATCTGTGAAAGTGAAAAAATATTTTTATGAAAACTGGGTAGGTCCTGTACAGTATTTTTATTAAAAATCTTCATATACTGGTGTTCATTAAACTTCATTACATTCTGTAGAAATTTATTGTTGCATGCTGTACAAATGAGTTTTCAGCAAACTAAGACATCAGTCATCAAACCCATATACAGGATTCTGGTTAATTGGGATACATTGGGACTAGAACACTTTGGCCCAATTAAGCAGCTGCCGCAATTATGCGAATTTCCACGAAAAGAGTTAAAAAGGTTTGTTCTTTAAGATTTGTTCCAAGTAAACGGCTGCCCCGATTAACCGATGCTCAATTAACCAGAATCTACTGTATATTATTCTTTAATCTCAATCATCATGTGACAGTGAACCTATTTGCTTTCTCATGGCAGAGCATAGTAGTCAAATTTGTGTGGCTGTAAGATTATGCCTCAGACCATGACATAGAAAGTGAAGCATGTGATGTACAAATTTTAATGTCATACTATGCCAAATATGTCTTCCTACTCATTTCTTACACTCATAATTTTTCATTAATGTCATCTTTCATATGTGTGAATGGTATGCATGAAATATATGGGGCTTATTTTTTCCTAATTTCACAACAACAAAATTAGGGTTTGTGAACTGTGATAAAATGTGGTTTTTACTACAGGGGACTGAATACTCCAGAGTGCTGTGAACAAAGTGTTATACCTCTCAAGGTATTCTGAGAATCATCATGAAGTAATGAAGTGTATCATGTCCCAATGCTCAGTGGGATCTGAACTTGACTGTGTTGATTCATCATGCAAACAATTAATGGTTTAATGTAAGGAGGTACATTTAAATAAATATTGTAATTTGTGAAATATGTATTGCACAGTATCAAGTGAGAATATCTGTAAAAGTTACCCAAGGTGCAAAAGGCAAAATGGGATGCATGAAATACAGAAAGAGGTTTCTCTGTTTACAGTTGTTCTTTATACATTGATATACATTTGTCATAATTGTAATCAGAAGGCAAGAAACATACACAGAAGCCTTAAAACCATACAATGTAGTAATATAAACCAACCACTTTTACCATTGTTATTGACTACTTATTTACTTTACTTTGCCAAACACCTTTCACTTACATGAATCCATCATTAGTGGTAATGCATTTAAATACTTGTTTCAATATATAATATAAAAGAAAACATTAATGGGCGACAATAAGAAGATGACCATCAGGGTGATTTGCTACCATGAAAACCTGAAAAGTCACTATGTTCAAAAATAATTTATGAATATATCTATGTAGTGAAGAACAGTAAGGTCAACTTGTGTCAATTAGAAAAACAAAGGTTATGTTTCAAAATATGTTATCAAGTTAAGAGGATACAACACTATAGCATTTGAATAGTAATTAGCTTTATTACCAGCTGAGCTATCGCCGTTGATCGTACTTTCTCCGGAAAGAAGATGGCGAAACTATATGCAGGGAGTATTGTAGGTGTTACAACCTGTGAATTAAATGATAGTATGTCTCCTAAGTTCGATATTGTGAAGACTATTGAAGAAGACGAAGATGTTCCAGATTTTTCAGAAAATTCTGATGAAGAAGAGGAGGTGTGTGTAATATTTTTGGGACTGTTTAGTCACATATATAATTTATACTCTTTTTCAGCACTTTGTTGACGTACTGAACACAATTTAACCTGTACGCGAACCATGTGCTTTTCATTGTGTTCTATTTCAGTTACTGGGCGGTGTTCACCTGTTACGATTATGTTTTTCAGAATGAGATGTAGCAACTTTCATGATGTTTTTACTGGTTGGTAAATACATGCATGTCTTATAGCATTTTACGTAGTTCGGTGACTGTGTGTGAGTCCACACGCTCGTGTTTGTTTTCGTCAGTAGTATAGTACATTTTAACAATTTATTGTTATTGTATATGGAATGAATTAATCTATTGCTAATACCTAATTCTACTTCACTAGCACAAAGAAGATGGAATTCATATGTAGCAGGAGATACGTAACACAGGTGTATTCAGGGTTGTCATGAAGCTGAACTGAACACAAATATATTTATGGTTTACGTGACATGCAAAAAGTATACTTGGGGTTCATACTGAAAGGAATAAATATTTCCAACTTGTATACATTGTTGTACAGTTGGCACAATACTGTATTCTCTCTTTTTTCCTTTAAATTTTAGTCTCTTATCACAAAACTGCAGAATAGCATATGATCATACATTTCTTTTATTAAGAGAGTGGCCAATGTTCTGATAGCTTTTGTCACTTTGGTCTCTCTCTTGCTGACACCAGTGTTATTAATAGAAGTAAGAGCTTATTATGTACAAATTTATGTTTTTTTGAACTAGTGCTGAAGTTATATTTATGTTTCAGTTTCAACCTAGCAAACAGAAAAGAAAGAAGAATGTGGATTTTGATGTTGGCTTTGAGTTTGTAGGCAGTGTTTCAGAGTACAATACTGATACATGGGATGACCTAGCTAAATATGTGAAGCGAAAAGTAAAGACTAAAGTGGATGAAAAAATTCAGAATGCCAGAATGGATTTGAAAAATAAGGTATGTATAATGAAACAAAATTGTTAGTTTCATGTACCTAATTGTATTTATAAGAGAAGTAATACTGATAATGCACCAACCTCTGTTACATATAATAGAAGCAAGATGACATAGAGACCTGTAATGATGAATCCCTGCCAGTGATTATTTCTGATTCAGGAGAATCAGATGAGGAAATATCACTTTCAGAAGATGAGCTCAAGAAAGGTGTGTTGTAGAAGTGTAGACTGAAATTACGGAATTTTTAATTTATATATATTTGCATGGTACTTTTTTATTGTTGTTATCAGTGTGATACATTATTCATCACATTAGTTGTCCTTTCCTAATCCAGATGCCCTTTGCAACTCATTAGAAAACCAGAATGGTTGAGACTGCTTTGATGATCGAAGTGTTCTCTGAAGATGATGTTAATTACAACTCTGGAGTTTGAACTGAATTTAGCTTTTATTTTATTCTCTTTGCAGTTAGTCATCCACATCACTATTTAAGTTAAGGGAATTTTTTTAAAGTAAATAATGAAGAAAATGTTTGGTATTTTGTACCTTTCCTTTTCAGATAATATTAAGGTAAAGGAGAAGATGATATCAAAGAGAAATAAGAAGAAGAAAAAAGTCGGTGATACTGAAGAGCAAGAATCAGAGTTTTTTGAAGATGCACCTCCATTTGATGAAAATGCTTCATTCTATCAGATGAACCTGTCTAGACCTCTGTTAAAGGTGCAGTTACATATTAAAGTAATGTTTTCTTACCAGTGTAAAGAGACTACCTTTTCACTTTGTATTTGTTTGTACTGTTATATCTGAGGGTTTGTGTTCTGGCCATACTGACTGACAGTACTAGGCTACAAACAATTCAGAACTCTGTTATAATTGTTATACAATCAGTGTCTGATTTGTGAATGTGGATCAGGTATGAGATTTAACAGTTTATAATTGTGTTATATTAAATACTTAATATGTTTATAGGCAATTGCAGCTATGAACTTTATTCACCCAACCCCCATCCAAGCTGCCACTATTCCAGTCGCCCTAATGGGAAGGGATGTTTCGGGATGTGCTGCAACTGGCACTGGCAAGACAGCTGCCTATATTCTTCCCATTTTGGAGCGTCTTCTATACAGGCCACTGGGTGACACAGCTGTGACTCGTGTTCTTGTGCTTGTACCAACACGAGAGTTAGGTGTTCAGGTTTATCAGGTTACTCGTCAGTTGGCCCAGTTTACAAACATTGAAGCTGGATTGGCAGTAGGAGGACTGGATGTGAAGGCGCAGGTAATAGGAATGTCCTATCAGTGCTTGACCAAAGAACTCAGTATATTATCTTCACAGTGAGTTTCTTAGAAACTTCTTCAGAGGTCGCTATGAAGTAGTGATTGGCCAGTTGTAGGGGGTCACTTATATTAGGACAAAACTGCATATACTCACAAACGTTATTATAAATTATCTGTTTCAGGATCAATCCATTTATTTAGTTGTCATATCTTGTACACTAAATCACCATGAATTTTGCTAGCACTTGTCACTGATCCAGCATTCTAACATTGCATACTGACAGTGTTATTAACTGTTTTGTGATGCTGAATGACAAAGTAGGTGTTTATAAAGGAATTTTTCTTTTCTATTGAATAAGGAAAATTTATCAAGCATAGCTAAAAATACTTCTTAACAATAGAATTTGTAATTTTATTTTCACAGGAAAATCTTAATGCAATCTTTATAATGAACAGTTTGTTGTCCAAGCCATGGATCATATATTGAATCTGTTCTCTGTGCAGATGTGTCACTAGATTTCATTCATCAGAATGCAACCACTTGCCATAGAACATATTCCTGAAAACAATTTCACTTCTGTAAATTATTTTGCCTCAGGGGATATCCTCCCTGGGGCTGTCCAAAAGAAAATTTTTAAATATGTTTACACTTTAATCTTATAAAAGAAGTACTCTCTGCAGTTCTTTGGCCACATTTTCTGAATATATTTGTGCTACATGAGTAAATATGTTGTGTGATACTTCTGTGTCTGAAAACACATTTTAGAAAATTGAGTTTTGGTTTGGTGATTTTCAGGAGTCTGTGTTACGTAAAAATCCAGATATAGTGATTGCAACTCCGGGCCGACTGATTGACCACTTGAAAAATACACCATCCTTCACTCTGGATAGTATTGAAGTGCTGGTGCTAGATGAGGCTGACAGGTGAATTTTGGTTATCTTGTTCTTTCATATTTGTACTACAGTAGGTCAGTATCTCTGTGTGTGATGTTTAGCTGAAGTGCAGGGAGAAGAATAATTTCAAGTTTCAATTTGTTACAGTCTTGTTCTTTCTCAAGTTTATACACTTGTCTGACCACTTTCAATTATTCACCCCCTCCCCCCAGCATACTGGTGGAATTTAAGTGTTCAGAAAGAAACCACTGACAGATGCAATTCATAGTTTGTAGTTTGATGTTGAATATAATAATACTAGAAGAGAATTGTTACAACCATAGGAATTGCAGTTTTAATTGTTTTGCTGACTAAATAAATCTAAATATTTTTCCAGAATGTTGGATGAGAATTTTGCGGAACAGATGAAAGAGATAGTGCGCTCCTGTGCAAGGAGTCGACAGACACTGCTGTTCTCTGCTACTATGACAGAGGAGGTAGAGGATCTAGCAGCTGTCTCTCTCAAAAAACCAGTCAAAGTTTTTGTTGATAGCAATCGTGTTGTTGCTTTCAATCTGCGACAGGAATTTGTTCGGTAAGGACAGCTTTTCACAGTATAATTTTCTGTTCTTATACTGTGCCAAAACTGTAGACTTTGAATTTCCATCCTTCCTTTTCTGCATCTACTTTCACATATTTTCTAATGCTCTTGTTTCATATTTAATCTGCTCTTGTTCATTGTGGTCTTCTGAGTTGTGATGCCATTCCGCTGGAATGTTGGCACCCAGCTTCAGGTTCACATAGTTTCACAGTTCAGAAGACCTCCTTGGACATCTGCGCTGTTGTGGGGATCATTTATCTCATCTTGTTTGTTTCTCAGCCATATTGACCATGCATCACGTCTCATGTATAGTCTGTCTAGTCATGTGTTGCATTAGCATACCATTAAACTGTAAACCTAGAGTTAAAGT